TAGATATCAAACAATTAGCATGAAAATATTTATAGAAAAGGCAGAGGAAGCTATATCATGGCTTAAATTCATAAAGTCTTGGTATCAAAGAGGGAAAGCTCATCAGAACAATTAGCATGAAAATATTTATAGAAAAGGCAGAGGGAAGCTATATCATGGCTTAAATTCATAAAGTCTAGGTACCAAAGAGGAAAGCTCATCAGAACAATTAGCATTAAAATATTTCTAGAAAAGGCAGAGGGAAGCTATATCATGGCTTAAATTCATAAAGTCTTGGTATCAAAGAGGAAAGCTCATCAGAACAATTAGCATGAAAATATTTATAGAAAAGGCAGAGGGAAGCTATATCATGGCTTAAATTCATAAAGTCTAGATATCAAAGAGTAAAGCTCATCAGAACAATTAGCATTAAAATATTTATAGAAAAACCAGAGGAAGCTATATCATGGCTTAAATTCATAAAGTCTTGGTATCAAAGAGGAAAGCTCATCAGAACAATTAGAATGAAAATATTTATAGAAAAGGCAGAGGAAGCTATATCATGGCTTAAATTGATAAAGTCTTGGTATCAAAGAGGAAAGCTCATCAGAACAATTAGCATGAAAATATTTATAGAAAAGGCAGAGGGAAGCTATATCATGGCTTAAATTCATAAAGTCTTAGTATCAAAGAGGAAAGCTCATCAGAACAATTAGCATGAAAATATTTATAGAAAAGGCAGAGGGAAGCTATATCATGGCTTAAATTCATAAAGTCTAGATATCAAAGAGGAAAGCTCATCAGAACAATTAGCATGAAAATATTTATAGAAAAGGCAGAGGGAAGCTATATCATGACTTAAATTCATAAAGTCTAGATATCAAAGAGGAAAGCTCATCAGAACAATTATCATGAAAATATTTATAGAAAAGGCAGAGGGTAGCTATATTATGGCTTAAATTCATAAACTCTTGTTATCAAAGACGAAAGCTCATCAGAACAATTAGCATGAAAATATTTATAGAAAAGGCAGAGGGAAGCTATATCATGGCTTAAATTCATAAAGTCTTGTTATCAAAGACGAAAGCTCATCAGAACAATTAGCATGAAAATATTTATAGAAAAGGCAGAGGGAAGCTATATCATGGCTTAAATTCATAAAGTCTAGGTATCAAAGAGGAAAGCTCATCAGAACAATTAGCATGAAAATATTTATAGAAAAGGCAGAGGGAAGCTATATCATGGCTTAAATTCATAAAGTCTAGGTACCAAAGAGGAAAGCCCATCAGAACAATTAGCATGAAAATATTTATAGAAAAGGCAGAGGGAAGCTATATTACGTCAGTGGAAAAGTGACTGAAGCCGAGATGCCAGGTCAGAACTGACAACACTGCAGATTCTTCTGTGGGTTTTATCAAGAATCTTTAAAAAAAAAAAAAAATAGATAAGTTCGCTTAAATTCCAGTTCGTACTCACTCCTCACCGGTTTTTTAAAAGAATTTTCAATTTTTTTTTGTGTGTACGAACTTTCCGATTTTTTACATACGGTGGTCTATACACGACATTATCAGAAAATAAGAGCGATAACTATAGTAAAATTAAAGCCAGAAAGTATCTAAAATTCAATTAAACATTAGTTTACGTAGAATATTTTTATATAATATATAAAAGACTACTACGTTATATCCAATTATTTTTATGACTTATGCCTCTGTAGAACAGCATCAGATAAACATTAATCTGTCAGCAATCTATCAAATATGTAAACTGTTTTAAATAAACAGCTACTTCTGTGTTAAATGCGATATTTTAAACTTTAAGTAAACAATATTTGTTTCGAATCAGATTAATTATATTTGAAATCAGTTTATATTCCTCAAATAAAGTTCCAGAAAGGTATATTTGATTTTTGATTTTTAAATAAAGAAAATTACATTGCGACGACAGAAGACTAAAGAAAAAAGACGTTAATTAGCTGTTTTAGTAAAAAAAAAATTCTTCCAGCTAATTTAAATTAGTTTTGAAATACAGAAAACTATTTTGCTTATTGGACATATTAAATTTAATCTATTAGCTTGAAATTAAAACTAAAATAAAAGCTTCAAGAAAGATTTTTCATTTTTAAAAATTCATTTTAAACCCTAGATAATGCGTTTTCTGTGATGATATTTAGTGTGAGAATTTCTTCTCACACAGTTTAACCCTTGGCAGAGACAAGAAAAGTCATACAATTAACAAAGCCTACCTTAAATTTTACAACAAATTTTATTGCATCTTTGCAAAAAAAGATTTTGCCCTTTCTTGCCCCTGTGAACAGGGTGGGGTAGTTTCTTCTGTAGGACTCAATAGGTCTCTACGCGGTTGGAGAAGCAGGAACTTGCTGGTCGTTGCAGGAGCATTACCATTTCGGTTGCTGACGTTGAAACTCGGCTATTGTCGAGATCATGCAGAAAGTTCTTTGTGTTGAAAGTACATATTAGACGACAGTCAATATACTGACTGAATTATTCAGCCTTGAAAGTATTGAAGAAGCTGGAACATGGCGTCGTCACAGGAGCATTAACATTTTGGTTGCTGAAGAAGAATCATTGCCTTGTTATTTCGGCTTAATTTTGGGCGCTAAAGGCCCTGCAAAGAGATTCAAATATGAGTCCTGACTTTTCCACGAATTTGCTGCAATTGATAAAAAAGGGGCACGGGCCGTTAAAAATGCCCGCGAAAAGCAAAGTCAAATTCAACCAATGAGATTGGTCGTTACAAAATGCTGTTTGGCATAAATTAGCCAATATCAGCTTAAATTGCAGAATTTCTCACATTAGAATGTGAATTTATACCTTATACATATTTTTATTCTTGAAATTTTACAACGAAAATATTAAACACTATTTATTTATTAGGTTTTTTATTTACAAGAATAACTTTATATTTACAATATTCTAAAAACTAATGCAATTGTATTAAAACTAATGCAATATTTATCATTTACCAATTTATAAAGAAATAAATATGAATTTTTTTATTCATAAAGTGCGAAATATTCACTAAATTATTAAAATATGTAAACAATCGCATGCCTTTCTAGAAATATTTTATTTAAAGGACCGGTGAGGAGTGAGTGTGAACTGGGCTTTAAGTGAACTTATCTGCTATTTTTTTTTGTTTTGTTTTTAGAGATTCTTGATAAGGAAATCCTTATTATTTACCATTTTATAAAGTTTGAATCAATTGGCAATTAGCCTATGTTTTGCCAAACATTCTAATAAACAATTTAATAAATAATGTTTATTATTTTTGTTATCAATTCTCAAGAACAAAGAAAATGTATAAATTCACTTTCGTGTGTTTAGGCTTTATTAAAATTCTAATCATCACTTTTTAAGCAATAAAAATTATCGAGGAGTGAAGGTAGTTTGTAGTGATTACTACTATGTTTGCCACGCCTACATTTTTCTCGACTGTGATTGGTCAAATAATATATACTAAATATCACAGGACAATTTACTGATCGTATTCACCACAATGAATTTTTCCTACCGTTAACTCACAAACATGATTTTGTTATAAAATCACCGATTGGTTAATTTTTCAACCAATCAGATATTTTTCGTGTTTTTTCAAAATTTATCCCGCGTTCGTGCTGGGAGCCTACCGGTAGTAATATAAGTCCCAATATATTTCCCAAATTAAACAGTAGAGTTGAAGACAGTTGAAGACAGTAGAACTCAACTACTCACACGGGTCTAAACAGACTATTCATTCTACTCCCTCCGCACGCACACACACAGACACAGAACTTTAATATCATTCACCATCAGTTCTTTGTGAACAAGCCAAGTTGCAACACCTCTGTTAGTTATACAAAATATACAATTGAACTTACTGTATGTTCTTCTGAATACACATTTTATTCCAATACAGAACTTTGAACATTCTATTCAGAAAACTTGCTTAATTACATTTCCTAATTCAACTAACAGATAAAGGGAAACTACTCTTTTCTCCTTATTCACACATTACAAAAATTACCTTGTATTTGTTGTTTTAATATATATTTTATCGTTGAAAGACAAATCGGTTTTCCATTGTTTTTCCTTGATTTTAAAAAATGTATAAATGTTCAACACGCAGCCACATTAATCTTTTCAACAAAACACCATTTACATTGGTAACCCCAACACTTAAGGAAAATAGCATTTACAAGTTAAAATAATATCGGTGTCAATAGAAAAACTGTCCTCTTGACACACCGTTTTTTTGCGGGCATATAGGTTAAAATTTCCCTTTAAGTAATTAATTAATTAAAATGGCAGTTTCATGAATTTGCTATGAAACAAAAACAAATGTTTCTTTTCATTCGTATTAACGTCCTTAATTTTTTATTATTACTACAACGTTTCGACCATTTTACCTCCTGACCGGGAATAACATTTTTTTTTTTTTTTTTGGTTTATTCAAATTGTGGAGAATTTCACTGTTCAGGTAATTACCTGAGTTGTTAAACCTAATAAAAGCGGTTGTTTTTAGTAACTGTTGAAATTTTCTATGGAATAATAAAAAACAAAATACTTAGAACAAAATTTTCAAGAAATTAACGTATTTGAATATTTTTATTATTCCTGGGAAGAACGTTTGGACCATTTTACCTCCTGACCGGGAATAACTGGATTTTTTTTTTTGATTGTTCAGGTAGGAGAAAAGCAACCATATTTATATGGTCGTTTCTAACTAACAAAAAGTGGATCCTTTTACTAACTTTTTTTTTTTTTTTAGTTACAGGGGTCACCTAATTAGACGGTCAGGTTACGTCGCGGAAAAGAATATTTATTCCGCAACTTAAGGTAAGTGCTTTTGTTTCTTTTCCTCAGCCTGAACAGTCTCTAGATATTGTTTTTGCGGGGAGAGGGTGACATTTTCTCTACAAAATCAAAGATTCGTATATGAAAGCGGGAAAGTGAATCCTAATATTTGTCAGAGCTTTGTGGCGTAAATCGAACGTTCGGAAAGCGGGGAAAGATAGGCCT